GTAAATTCAAAAAATGGGATCAGCTGAAACTATCATGGATGGGCAGAACTGCTATGATTAAGATGGTAACCCTCCCTAAGAAAATGTACTTGTTCCAAAATATCCCGGTAATTGAAAACAATAAAGTTCTCATAGTATGGAATACAGATATATTAAATTTTATATGGAACTACAAAAAACATAGGGTAAAGGCGCTAGACCTTTACGATTCTAGTGAGAGAGGTGGACTGGCTCTTCCTAATGTCCAATGGTATTACGAGGCCTCTGTACTGGAATGGCTCCAGGAATGGCTGTTATTGAAAAATCAAAGGATATTAGACTTGGAAGGAGAGGACTTGTCATATGGTTTTCACTCATACTTATTCTATGATAAATTTAAAGGTGATTAGGTTTAAGGACCATTTTATACGAAAAGTATGCTTGAAAGTATGGCTTAAATATAAAAAGAAATGGTGTCCGAAAATACCTTCTTGGGCTTCGCCAGCAGAAGCAATATTAATGAAAACGTTATATATGGACGGTAATTGGCTAAAATATAAGGATTTGACTAACATAGTAGATAATAATATAGTTCATAAGACATCAGAGGAATTAAAGATGATTGGACATGATCTAAATTGGTTTACATATAGGCAACTATATGAACATTTTAAAGTTGATAATAATTTGGGTAGGATAGGTCCTGCGGATAAAATTTTTGAAAAGATTTTGAGTGGGGGAAAAAAGAAAATGATCTCGAAATATTATAAATTGATTCGAGAGTGGGATTTGGAAGAAAATACCATCAAAAATTACATGATTAATTGGGCAAAAGACTTAAATCAAAATATATATTTGGAGGAATGGACTAAAAGTTGGAACAATTTAAAGAAGTATGCCGTAAATATAGGTATAAGGGAAAACACGTATAAACTAATGTTCAGGTGGTATTTAACCCCAGTTAGATTATCGAAAGTATATAAAGGTATTAACTCAACATGTTGGAAGTGCGAAGAGGAAATAGGATATTATTTTCATGCATGGTGGAAATGTAAGATAGCGCACAAGTTCTGGACCTTAATTAACACAGAAATTAAATTAATTTTAAACATACAGATTGAAGTCGACCCTAAAATATATTTATTAAATATATGCAAGGAGGAGATAGAAATAAAGGGGGGAAAGTTACTATTTTTATTAATAACTTCGGCGAGAATTCTATTTGCTAAGTATTGGAGGAGAAGGGAATGTCCTACGGTGGAGGAATGGAGGTTTAAAGTGTGTGAGATTTATGAATTAGAGAAACTAACATGTCTAGTCCAAAATAAATCTTTGTCATCTTTTCAGAACTTATGGAGACCTTGGTTTGAGTATATGAAGAAAAATATGAAAGATTCTATACAACCTGCTATGAATTGGGAGGGAAAGTACTAATAATTTTGTTTTTTGTATTTGTTTAAAGTAGTTCTCCTTTTCTTTTAGAATATAGTACTTTAAGATATTTTGATATACTTGAGATTGATACAATATATACATCTAGTGTATATTCAATGTAATTTTGTTGGCTTTTCCTTTTATTATCATCACCTATAATTCTTTATAAAAGTAAGATATATTTAGGAGTAGTGACGAGTTAATTTACGAGAAAAATGTTTTGAAGGATAACCAAAGCTCCGAACGTCAATCATAATATTTGTCTGTGATGTGGATTTATAATAGTTGAAATGATCAGGGATAATTATTTTAAGGTGGATGAACAACTGCAGTACTGTGGAAGAATTTTAGGTAGTATATGTATGTTTTGTGATGTTTTTTGTCGTTGTATCTTAGTTGTTAGTTTTGTATGTGGTTTGTATTTTCGTTGTACATTATTTGTTTTGATTATTGTTTTTAACAATTTGTCAATAACAAATTTCTTTTAAAAAAAAAAAGAGAGAGAATGCCCCCCATGAGCAAAAAATTTAAGTCCTGGGGCAAAGGCTGTGCTTAGCCTACCCCTGATATAAGGTCATCCACCATTGTCCTTTAATGGTTCTATCCTATGAAATCCTATGAAATCCTAGGACTAGAGCTCCCGGGCTCAGAATTTAAAATGCCCCCACACACACATTTCAAATCCCAGGATTCCTTGGAATGGAACCATGGCAGTTAAAGTGTAATAATAGTGCCATAACTATGTAGTTTGAATGGATCCCTGGTGCCAGAAAGAAGACAATGTTGGCACCAATCAGGGAGAGAAGGTCATCCCCGAAATCTTCTCACAATGTATTGTTTCCACTAGTGGGGCACAGATTCCCACTTGGCCATGAGAGATGCTGGGTGACCTTGGGCAGGTCACAGTCTCCCAGTCTCAGGGTAAGGCAATGGCAAACCTCATCTAAAGAAATCTTGCCAAGAAAACCCCATGATAGGTTCACCTTAGGGTCACCATAGGTCGGCACCAACTTGAAGGCACACATCATATAAAAATAACTTTTTAAGGGGGGGAGGGAACTAGATTTTATTGCTGTATGTTATATTTTATTGTTGTTAGCCACCTCGATTTATCTCAAAGGGGCAGGATATAAATAAACTTTATTATTATTATTATTATTATTATTATTATTATTATCATCATCATCATCATCATCATCATCACACAGTAGAGCACTGAGGAAGTATATACAGTAAAAAAGAGAGGGCTGTGCAGCTGTGGAGATTATT